GTTATGTCAAACTGATTTAAAGGCTTTAATTGCTTATTCTTCAGTTGCTCATATAGGAATTGTTTTAGCTGGGTTAATAACTATAACATATATAGGAATATGTGGTTCTTATACTTTAATAATTGCTCATGGATTATGTTCTTCTGGATTATTTTGTTTAGCAAATATTTCTTATGAACGATTAGGAAGACGAAGTTTATTAATTAATAAGGGTTTATTAAATTTTATACCTTCAATGGCTTTATGATGATTTTTATTAAGTTCTGCTAATATAGCAGCTCCTCCTACTTTAAATTTATTAGGAGAAATTTCTTTGATTAATAGAATTGTTAGTTGATCTTGATTAACAATATTAATGTTATCTTTATTGTCTTTCTTTAGAGCTGCTTATACATTATATTTATATGCTTATAGACAACATGGAAAGTTATTTTCTGGAGTTTATTCTTTTAGAGGAGGAAAGATTCGAGAATATTTATTATTATTTTTACATTGATTTCCTTTAAATTTATTAATTTTAAAGGGGGATATATGTATGTTATGATTATAATTATTTAAATAGTTTAATAAAAATATTGATTTGTGGTGTCAATGATAAGATAAAAATCTTTTTAAATCGTGAAATATTATCAATTTCTTCAATTAGATTCATTAGTTTATTTTTTTTAGACTTTTGTCATTTACTATAGGATTAATTTTATTATAAATGATTTTACAATTTTTATTGAATGAGAAGTTGTTTCTATAAATTCTTTAATAATTGTAATAACAATTTTATTAGATTGAATAAGATTAATTTTTATGTCTTTTGTATTAATAATTTCTTCTTTAGTTATTTATTATAGAAAGGAATATATAGAAAGAGATTATAAGATTAATCGATTTATTATATTAGTATTAATATTTGTAACTTCAATAATATTATTAATTATTAGTCCAAATTTAATTAGAATTTTATTAGGTTGAGATGGATTAGGGTTAGTTTCTTATTGTTAATAATTTATTTTCAAAATATTAAGTCATATAATGCTGGTATATTAACTGCTTTATCAAATCGAATTGGAGATGTAGCTTTATTATTAGCAATTGCTTGAATATTAAATTATGGTAGTTGAAATTATATTTTTTATTTAGATGTAATGCAATCTGATAGAGAAATGTTAATTGTTGGTATATTAGTAATATTAGCTGCAATAACAAAAAGTGCACAGATTCCATTTTCTTCTTGATTACCAGCTGCAATAGCAGCTCCTACTCCAGTATCGGCTTTAGTTCATTCTTCAACTTTAGTAACAGCTGGAGTTTATTTATTAATTCGATTTAATATTGTATTAAGAACAAGTTGAATGGGTAATTTATTACTACTATTATCAGGTTTAACAATATTTATAGCTGGATTAGGTGCTAATTATGAATTTGATTTAAAGAAGATTATTGCTTTATCTACTTTAAGACAATTAGGTTTAATAATAAGAATTTATCTATAGGTTATTATAAATTAGCTTTTTTTCATTTATTAACTCATGCATTATTTAAGGCTTTATTATTTATATGTGCAGGAGCAATTATTCATAATATGAACAATAATCAAGATATTCGTTTAATAGGAAGTTTAAGATTAATAATACCATTAACTTCTTCTTGTTTTAATGTTGCAAATTTAGCATTATGTGGAATACCATTTTTAGCAGGATTTTATTCAAAGGATTTAATTTTGGAAATAGTATCATTTTCTTATATTAATTTATTTTCTTTCTTTCTATATTTTTTTTCAACAGGGTTAACAGTATGTTATTCTTTTCGATTAGTTTATTATTCAATAACTGGAGATTCTAATTTTTCTTCTTTAAATATACTTAATGATGAAGGTTGAGTAATATTAAAGAGTATAATAGGTTTATTAATTTTAAGAATTGTAGGAGGAAGTATATTAAGTTGATTAATTTTTCCTACTCCGGAAGTTATTATTTTACCTTTAAATTTAAAGTTATTGACTTTATTTGTATGTATTATTGGTGGTTTAATAGGTTATTTAATTTCTAATGTATCTTTATTTTTATAAATAAGGCTTTAAGAAATTATAATTTTTCTTATTTTTTAGGCTCAATATGATTTATACCTTATATTTCTACTTATGGAATTATTAATTATCCTTTAATTTTAGGTAAAATAAGAATTAAATCATTTGACCAAGCTTGATCTGAATATTTTGGGGGTCACAACTTTATTATAATTTAGTTAAAAATTCTCAGTTAAATCAAATATTACAAAATAATAATTTAAAAATTTATTTATTAAGTTTTATTTTTTGAATTGTAATTTTATACATATATATAATTTGTTTCTATTCAAATAGCTTATATTTATTTCAGTGTCATGAAGATGTTAGGGAGATTAATTAATCTTTGAATATGTATACTGAATTATTTTTAGTAATTTATAAAATAAAATTATTTAATTTTACAATGAAAATGTAATGTTTTTATTAAACTATATAAATAGAAGTATAAATGGAATTTAACCATTAAAAGAAAAAAGTTAGCAGCTTTTACTTGAACATCATACTTCCTTAATTGGAGTTTAGAACTCAATTCTATCATTAACAGTGATAAGCCGCTTTTTGGCTTCAATTAATTATTTAAAGAATAAGGGTAAATTTACCTAAGATTAGGTCGAAACTAATTGCAATATATCGCTTCATATTCAAGGTAGATTGAAAATTCAATACTTTTTGAATGCAAATCAAATGTTATAATTAACTACAACCCTGTTTAGTTTGATCAATTTAATATCCCTTGATTTCATTCATGATAAAGTCCTAATAATAGAATTAAAATAAAAATAATAGACGTAATTGTTCAGCATATAATATTTGAAAATTTAATAATTAAAATAATTGGTAAAATTAATGCAATTTCTACGTCAAAATTAAAAAAATAATAGTAATTAAAAAAAATCGAAGTGAAAAAGGTAAACGAGATGATGATTTTGGGTCAAATCCACATTCGAATGGTGAAGCTTTTTCACGATCTACAATTGTTTTTTTAGATAAAATTGAAGCTAAAAGTATAACTACTATAGAAATTAATAGAAGGATTGAACTAATTGTTAAAATTGAAAAAAATTATCTATACTATTAATAATAGACCATATGATTGGAAGTCAAATATACTTTTTATACTATATAGATAATAAATTATCCTCCTCATCAGTAAATAGATACATAAAGGAATAATCAAACAATATCAACAAAATGTCAATATCAAGCAGCAGCTTCAAATCCAAAGTGGTGATTTTTTGAAAAGTGGTTATTTAAATGTCGACCTAAACAAACAATTAAAAAAGTTGTTCCAATTAATACATGAAGACCATGAAATCCTGTTGCTATAAAGAAAGTAGAACCGTAAACTGAATCTGCAATTGTGAATGGAGCTTCAATATATTCATAAGCTTGAAGAATTGTAAAGTAAATTCCTAATAATACTGTAAAAAATAATCCTTGTGTAGTTGTGAATGATTACCTTCCATTAAACTATGATGAGCTCAAGTTACAGTAATTCCAGAAGTTAGTAAATTACAGTATTTAATAAAGGAATTTGGAATGGATTGAAAGGAGTAATTCCTAAAGGTGGTCATATTGCTCCTAATTCAATTGAAGGAGATAAGCTACTATGGAAAAATGCTCAAAAAAATGAAACGAAAAATAAAACTTCTGAAAGAATAAATAAAATTATTCCTCATCGTAAACCTGTAGTAACAGAAAGTGTATGAAGACCTTGATATGTTCCTTCTCGAGAAATATCTCGTCATCATTGGTACACAGTTAAAATTGTAATAACATTCCCTAATAAGAATAATGAATTATCATATTGATGAAATCATTTTACTATTCCTGCAACTGTTGTTATAGCTCCAATTGATGCTGTTAATGGTCATGGACTATAGTCTACTAAATGAAATGGGTGATTTGAATGTGTTGACATTAATTAACTTCTCTAGAATATAATGTTCTTAAATACGTATGATTGAATTATTGCAACTGCTGATTCTAAAACTAATAGTGCAATTTGTGTAATAATTAAAAAACTAATTAATACTATAGATAAAGAAGGTCCTGTATTTCCTAAAAGAGTAAGAAGTAGATGTCCAGCAATTATATTAGCTGTTAATCGAACAGCTAAAGTTCCTGGTCGAATTACATTACTAATAGTTTCAATGCATACTATAAATGGTATTAAAATAGCTGGAGTTCCTTGAGGAACTAAATGAGCAAATATATGTTGAGTATTATTAATTCATCCATATAATATAAAACATAATCATAAAGGAAGAGCTAAAGTTAGAGTTAAAGTTAAATGACTTGTTCTTGTAAAAATATATGGAAATAATCCTATAAAATTATTAAATGAAATTATAGAAAATAATGAAACGAAAATAAATGTAGAACCGTTTGCTCCTATAGGACCAAGTAAAGTTTTAAATTCCTTATGAAGTGTTAATAAAATATTATTTCAAAAAATGTGGTATCGAGATGGTATAAGTCAGTATATTGATGGAATTATTAAAATTCCTAAAAAAGTTCTTAATCAATTTAATGAAAGATTAAAAATACTTGATGAAGGGTCAAAAACAGAGAATAAATTTGTTATCATTTTCAATTTAATGACTTTGTTGAATGAGTTTTATTACTTAAATTTGATTTAGGTATTGAAGGAATATATGAATAGTAATTTATTACATTAAAAATTACAAATGTAATTGAAAAAATAATAAATAAGCTTAATCAACCAATTGGTGCTATTTGAGGGATTAAAAATATTAATAAATTAATAATTTTAGTTTGACAAACTAATGTTATATTTTAACTAATTTTTTCATAACTAATTTACTATACTATACTATACTATAACTAACTATAACTAATTTACTAATTTACTTTCAAGTGCTAATTTACTATAAAATGGTTTAAGAGACCAGTACTTGCTTTCAGTCATCTAATGAAGAATTATTTTTAGAAATTCACTTAATAAAATAATTTACAGGAATACTTTCAATTACAATTGGTATAAAACTATGATTAGCTCCACAAATTTCTGAACATTGTCCATAGAATAAACCTGGTCGATTAATTAAGAAATTAGTTTGATTTAGACGACCAGGAGTACCATCAACCTTTACACCTAAAGCAGGAACAGTTCATGAATGAATTACATCAGCAGCAGTTACTAAAATTCGAATTTGAGAATTTATTGGTAAAACTACTCGATTATCTACATCTAATAAACGAAATCCGTCTACTGGTAATTCATTTGTAGGAATTATATAAGAATCAAATTCAACATTATTAAAATCTGAATATTCATAACTTCAATATCATTGATGACCAATAGCCTTTAAAGTTACTGATGGTTCATTAATTTCATCTAATAAGTATAATAATCGTAAAGAAGGGAAAGCAATGAATAATAAAATAATTGCAGGTAAAATAGTTCAAATAATTTCAATTGTTTGTCCATGTAATAAATAACGATTAACATATTTATTAAAAAATAATGTAAACATTAAATATCCGACTAATACTGTAATTATTACTAAAATTATTAATGCATGATCATGAAAAAAAATTAATTGTTCTATTAATGGAGAAGAACTATCTTGTAAACCTAAATTTGCTCATGTTGACATTAGTTTCTAATAAAAGTAAAATACTTTATATATGGAGCTTAAATCCATTGCACTAATCTGCCATATTAGAAATTAGTTAGTAAAGGCAATTCATTATATCTGTGTTCAGCAGGTGGAGTATTTTGTAATCATTCAATTGATGAATTTAATTGAATTGGGAAAATTACTTGTCGTTGAGATACTAAACTTTCTCAGATAATATAGAATAAATATAAAATTCCTAATAATGAAATTGTTGAACCGATTGTTGAAATTACATTTCATGCTGTATAAGCATCAGGATAATCAGAATATCGTCGAGGTATTCCGGCTAATCCTAAGAAATGTTGAGGGAAGAATGTTAAATTTACTCCAATAAATATAATAACAAATTGACTTTTTAAAAGTTTATTATTTAGAGTTAATACAGTAAATAGAGGGTATCAATGTACAAATCCTGCTATAATAGCAAATACAGCTCCTATAGAAAGTACATAGTGGAAATGAGCAACTACATAATATGTATCATGTAAAATAATATCAACAGATGAGTTAGCTAGTACTACTCCTGTTAAACCTCCTACAGTAAATAAGAATACGAATCCTAAAGCTCATAAAATAGCTGGAGAATAAGTTAGTTGAGTTCCGTATAATGTAGCTAATCAACTAAAATCTTAATTCCAGTAGGTACAGCAATAATTATTGTAGCTGAAGTGAAGTAAGCTCGAGTATCAACGTCTATTCCAACAGTAAATATGTGATGAGCTCATACAATAAATCCTAAAAGTCCAATTGCTAACATAGCATAAATTATTCCTAAAGAACCGAATGTTTCCTTCTTTCCTGATTCTTGACTAATAATATGAGAAATTATTCCAAATCCAGGTAAAATTAAAATATAAACTTCTGGATGTCCAAAGAATCAGAATAAGTGTTGATAAAGAATTGGATCACCTCCTCCAGCTGGATCAAAGAATGAAGTATTTAAATTTCGATCAGTTAATAGTATAGTAATAGCTCCAGCAAGAACAGGAAGAGATAATAATAATAATAATGCAGTAATTACAACTGATCAAACAAATAAAGGCATTCGATCGAATGTAATTCCTGTTGATCGTATGTTAATAACAGTTGTAATAAAATTTACTGCTCCTAAAATTGAAGAAATTCCTGCTAAGTGAAGAGAGAAAATAGCTAAATCAACTGAAGCTCCACCATGAGCAATAATTGATGATAAAGGTGGATAAACAGTTCAACCTGTTCCAGCTCCCTTTTCTACTATACTTCTTACTAATAATAGAGTTAATGCAGGAGGTAATAATCAAAAACTTATATTATTCATTCGAGGGAATGCTATATCTGGAGCTCCTAATATTAAAGGAACTAATCAATTTCCAAACCCTCCAATTATAATAGGTATTACTATAAAGAAAATTATAATAAAAGCATGAGCTGTTACAATAACATTATAAATTTGATCGTCTCCAATTAGAGCACCAGGGTGTCCTAATTCAGCTCGAATTAAAATTCTTAATGATGTTCCTACTATACCAGATCATGCTCCGAAGATAAAATATAAAGTACCAATATCTTTATGATTAGTAGAAATAACCATTGTTGCGATTAAATGGCTGAAGTTTAGGCAATAGATTGTAAATTTATTTATGAGAATTTTTCTCTTTAATCAATTAGCTTTATAGTCAATAATGACATTAGACTGCAATTCTAAAGGAGTAATAAATTTACTAAGGCTTAAAAGATTATTCTTATATTGATAGCTTTGAAGGCTATTAGTTTATTTAACTTAAAGCCTTAAAAAAAGAAATATAAGGAAGAAGTTAAAAATAACCCAAAAGTTGAAATATAAGAAAAAGTTAATAAAAGCTTTATATTTGAAGACTTATAATATGAAAATGTTATTCAACTATTTTCATAATAGTTTAGTATAAAAGCACTATAACATAATCGAATATAAAAATATAAAGTAATTAATGTTATTATTACTATAAAAGTTAATAAAAATAATTGATTATTTATAGTTAAAGATTGAATTACAAATATTTTTGGTAAGAATCCTAAAAATGGGGGTAATCCTCCTAATGAAAGAAGATTAAAAAATAAGAAAAATTTAATTCTTTTTTCATGGAAAAATAAAGAAAATAATTGATTAATATAAGAAATTTTAAACATATTAAATATTAACACTATTGAAAATGTTAAAAATGTATAAAATAAAAAATATACTAGTCAAATATTTCTATTATATATTGCAGCTAATATTCATCCTAAATGGTTAATTGAAGAATAAGCTATTAATTTACGTAAAGAAGTTTGATTTAAACCTCCTAATGCACCAATTAAACTTGATAAAATAATTCTGATAATAATTAATGGCTTAAAAATTACATAAGAAATTAATATTAACGGAGCAATTTTTTGTCAAGTTATTAAAATTAATGCATTAATTCATGATAATCCTTCTATTACATTAGGGAATCAAAAATGGAAAGGAGCAGAACCTCTCTTTAATAATAAAGAAGAAAGAATAATTATTTCTATTAAATTTGCATTATTTTTACCAGTATTAAGTAAAAATAAAATTACTGCAAATAAAAATACAGAAGAAGCTAGTGCTTGAGTTAAAAAGTACTTTAAAGATGCTTCTGTAGATATTAATTTATTATCTCTTATTAGGGGGATAAAAGCTAACAAATTAATTTCTAAACCTATTCAGGCTCCTATTCAAGAGTTTGCTGAAATTGCAATTAAAGATCCTATTATTAAAATAGTTAAAAATATAATTTTTGATGAATTATTAAAATTAAAAAGAAAAGGATTAGAACCTTTATAAATGGGGTATGAGCCCAGTAGCTTAATTAGCTTATCTTTTTATAATAAATATATTTTGGTGTACGATGCACAAAAGTTTTTGATACTTTTAGAAATAGTTTAATTCTATTAAATATAATGAATGTAATATTAATTACATAATTTACCCTATCAAGGTAACCCTTTTATCAGGCAATTCATTCAATGCAATGAGGCTCTTTTTTTTTTTTTTTTTTTATATATTTATACATAATTTTGAGAAAAATTTATAATTTTTTTTTATTAATTAATTAATTTATAGAATTAAAAATAGTAATTTTAAAATTTTAAGTACTAATGTATAAAGATAATTTTTTATTTTTTTTTTAAAAATAAGCAAAAAATTAATTTAGATAATTAATTTATGCATATATATATATATATATATATATATATATATATATATATATATATATATATATATATATATATATATATATATATATATATATATATATATATATATATATTTCTCTATATAAAATTACATATTAATACAAATCTTATATTATAATAATAGGGAAATATAATTATATAAATTATATTATAATATATATTTATTTATGTAATTACTTATTAATATATAAATTATTTATATAATGTATACTATATATTAGACATTAGATAACCATTAATAGATAAATACCTGAATAATCAAGATTAATCGTACTATTATGCTTAATTGGATGGTTGTGAAATTTTTTTTTGATTTGGATTAATATTCATCTATTAATTAATTAAATATTTATTAATATATATATGAATACCTAGATTAATATCTATCTATTAATCAATTAAATATTTATATATATATAGATGTATAACGAATATAGTATATAGACTAAATTTCAGATTTTGTAACGCTCAATATAAAAATAGAGACCTATTATTGTATAAATTATATATTATTAAAATATAAGAAATCAATTAGAAAAAAATAATAACATTAAAAAATATTTATAATTTTTAAAAAAATTTTTAAAAAAAAAAAAAAAAAAAAATTCGAGATTTTTTTTTAAAAAAAAAATTTTTAAAAATCTAAAAATTTAAATTTTGATTTATTTTAAAAAATTTTTAAAATCTAAAAATTTAATTTTGATTTATTTCATAAAATATAATTAAATTTTTATTTATAAATTTAATTTTGATTTATTTCATAAAATATAATTAAATTTTTATTATAAATTATTTGTTTACTATATTTAATTATTTATTAAATTATAATATTTTAAAAAATTTTTATTTTTTTTTTAAAAAAAATCTATTAAAATATAATTATATTAGGGGATATAATTGGTTTTTTTTATGTTAAAAATAACATTTATTTTGTATTATTAATATTTTATAAAATTATATAGGGGTATGTTTTATAAAATGTTAATTATAAATAAATTTATTTATGTTTTTAATTAAAAAAATTATAAATATGATAAATTAATTGATTCAAAATTTGCGTGAGTAATTACCAATTTTATATTATTTAATAATATTTATTATTAATAATTCTAATTTTTATGTTTTAATTTAAATTTTAAAATTTTAAATAATTTTAAAAATTTTTATAAATTAAGTTTAAAGTTTTATTTTAGCTTAAAAATTTATTATTAGTTTAATTTATATGTAAATATTTGTATGAATTTTTATTTATTTTAATAATAAATAAAATAATTTATATTCGCAGTAATTAGTATTATTAATTAGAGAAATCTGGAAATAATTCTATTGCAAATCAACAATTCCCCATGCATTTTTGCGGGAGACTTAAATATAAACTTGATTTACCATAACTACGAAAAAGATTGTTTAGTTGACATATTTGCTTAATCAACTTTGGAACAGTGTCACGATCTCGTTACGCGTCCTTCTAGTAAATCATTTTTAGTTTGTGTCTTTAGCAATGTATCTAGATTTATATTTGTATATTCAATTCAGAACCACTTTGCTGATCTCAACATGATTGTTTGCACAGTAGAGCTATCGGAGCCAATGATTCGAAATATATATGAAAAACATTGTTCATAAATTACAATGATGTAGGAAAGTTACTTGATAGGTATTTATTCATTGATGAAAATATTACATGTTCTGATTTATGTAAAATGTAATAGACACGTTTTCAACAGCCATAGATCAATGCACAACAATATATATGTTATCTGTTAATATTAAAAGGAAAATTAAACCTTGGATTAATCATAATTTGGAACGTTTGATTGTTTATAAAATAAGCTCTTAGCTAAAAGAAGGAAGAATAAGCACAAGAAGAAAATTTCAAATTTACTTAAAAGAATGAGAAAAATTATAAAAAATGCAAAAAGATTTTAATGGAAAATTATTACAAAAGTAGCTTGGGGAAATGGCACGGTGACTTATAGAAAACTTGGAAATTTTTTAACAAACACGTGAGAAAGCTTCGTAAAACTGTACCCGACATTGTTTTCTCATTGAACTAGGATAAGGTTAAATGCTTAAATCAATACTTTTCAGAGTCAGTTTGTAAATTACATTCTGAAATACCAAGTTATTTTAATGCCTATGGCTATAAAAAAGGTTCAAAAAAGGGTACAAACGAATGAATGGTTAATCTGATTGTATCTGTAATGGATTAGATAGAGGTCATAAGGGCATGGATGGTGTGTTTTTTGTTCTTTCAAAGGCCCAAGGGTTTCGAAACAGAAATCGAATACTATGCCTCTATACTATGCACATATTTGAGGATAAATAAACTCGTATTGAATTCGAAAAAAAAAAAAAAAATAAATTCATACGTTTTAGAAAATATGTTTGTAGAAATGATGAGATCGTGAGCGTTCATGTTGATGGCAATGAGATTATCGAATCGAATAGTATCCATAATGTGACCATTTATATTTTTCGTCAGAGCGGGACGCATGCGGAATTTTGTAAAAAAAATTATGCATTTAAAAACAAATTTTATTCAAAAACGGAGAGAATACGTATAAATTTAATTTATGAAATTAATCTTATGTCTAAGAATTTGTTTTATATTTGTCAGCAGAGCAAATTAGTTTTAAAATATCGGGTCTAGTTTTCATGTAGGAATGCAGCTGCTTACATTGTTTGTTGATGTTAGTCTTAGTAATTAAAATAGCTTTTAAAACTGTCACACTTAACTGCGTTTTTTCACTTGTCCAAATTTTATTCATTAAGGAAAAAACTCTTTCGACAGGTGCGTTACTTCCAGGCATACATAAAACATACTCAATAATTGTGCGAAAGTTTGTGCAGTTGAGATTATTAGCACGGAAGTGTTTAAACAGCTCCACCCAAAGGTCATCAGTAGCAACATTCTCATCGTTCCAGCTTTTGATTTTTTCAACTGTGACGTAACTGGAAATAAGCGAAAACTCATCGAACACCTCCGTATCTTGGCTACTGCTAAGAAATCTTTGTGTGATCAGCAAATCCGTCACATTCTGTACGTCTTCCCAAGTAGGGACTTTTCTCAAATTTGACCATTCAAATACTGCTAGTTGTGCATTGAACTGGCACCACTGTTCCAAGTATTCTTTACTTGTCTTATAAAAATCCGCTGCCGCAGTTTTCACATTCTGCTCATCAACAGCAACGTCAGTTTTTGTAATTTTACCAGTAGATTGCGGACGTAATGAGAAAGGAAAATCGAATTCTCTTTAACTTCTAAGTTATCTCGGAGACGATTAATTTCATTCGAAGACTCTATTGCGGACACGTTTTGTCCATCGATTTCTGTGTCAGTGCGTGCAAAAAATATAACCACAGTTCAGAGCTGGTATTTTCGAAAAACGTTTTAAAATAGTAGGGCATTTATCTATGCTCAGAAAATAGGTTTTCAAAGGCTGAAACATTTTTAAAATTCTCTCAAGCGCCGGCATTAAAGCAAGCCACCTTGTTTTACTGTAGCCCAACAGTTTCTGATACTAAATAAATTTTCACAATGATTCATTCGAAGTCAACAGGGAGACAATCTGCGGCTGTTTTGATAGCATTATGAATTATATGGGCTCCACACCCAATCCCAATGAGCTGCCTTCCGACGGATAGGTTCAATTTCGCGTAGACATTATTTATCCCTTTTCTATTCTTTCCTCCGAAATTGCAGTTTGTATTGTCTGCAAAATGCCACAATTTTCTTATTCAAATCATTGCAAGATAATACTTCTTTCAAATAATCCACAATTATAACATATGATTCGCCTGGCTGCTTTTGAAACTCTAAAATCCTGACTCTCACGCCTTCGTATGGTACAAAATAGCGAACTAAAACAGGGAATAATTTTATTGAGCCGTGATTGGAAGCATCGGTTAATAAAGATATGCAGTGGGCTTCGTGAAGGTGTTCTTTCAATTCGTCCATCGCCATAGGTGCCAGCACATTTACAACTATAGCTTGTGATTTTGTACGGGCACATCTAAATTTTTGCTCAAAACATGTTTGTATTAGATTTGAAGCACAGTCATTCGAACGAAAACTGTGGTTTTCTTGCACTGTGTGGTACGCCCACGCACCCTCCGCTGCAGCTATAAAGAAAGCATTGACGAGCTTGAAGCGGCAGCTTGATCAGAAAGCTTGTGTTTTTCCGATTTTAAATGCTTCTCAATATCACTGGCACCACCATGTCCAACACTAAAATCAGCACGATATTTTTCACACGTAACGTCTGATTCACCACTTCTTTGTTTTATAAATGGATACTTATTTTGCAAAGAAATATTAAAAGTACACTTGCGTTTAGGCATTATTGTAATGTTACAATCACTAACATTGAAAATAAATTGTTTGACTTTGCACGCCTTCTCCGACTCCGCGATGAAAAGATACCAGAACAATTTAGAGTACTGACAGAGTGACAGAAACCTTTTCTGTTTTTATAAGCATTTTTAATTTGGTGATTTCCCTTGTTATGCTGGAGTTAATTTCAACG